GTCATGGACATGCCTGTTAGTGCTATCCTGACGGTCGTCCGGCCATGAATTCAGTAATTTGCGGTTGTGCTTTGGGGACATGTGTGCGTGTGAGTCTTCATGTTGTGGGCACTTCGTGGGCTCCCGCATGAATCTCCAGCTTTCTTTGCTGCTTTTCCCCTTCAAGTCTCCCAGGCTCGCTCCTTCCCGAGATCTCTCGATCCCAATTTAAATTGCAGTACTCTGGGAACCCACCGTCGGAGTGGAGCTTTAAGAACTTGTCGGTTTCAGAGCTCGGTCTGCGAGCAGGTAGCAGCTCTCAAAGTGAGTCTGAATGTCTGAGGCCGCTGCCACCTCTGAGCCATCGTCTGAGAGAGTGACCTCGATTTCTGCGAGGATGCCGATGCCAAGACATCTCCTCCCCTCTCTGGCTCAAGAAACCATAAACACAAATTCTCAACCCTGAGCCCAAACCCTTAACCCTAAACGTTTAAATCTCAACCCTGAGCCCAAAAATCCGTAAAATCCCGGATCTGGGGCCGCGGCTGGCGGAAGACTGGAGCACCTGGGATACAAAGAGCGATTGGTGCTCTCAGTCTCCCCCCAAGCACTTCTCGGCTTTGCTGATGATGTGTCGGCCTTATTTAATAATGTTATACATAATAAGGAACCCCAAAATTAGTTCTATAATATCGGCCTTCAAAATTAGAAGAGGGTCTTGGGCCCCTTTATAGTATAAATATAGCAAGGAACCTTGAGGAATGATATTGGTAGCCTTCTGTATTATGCTCACAGCCACAGTGAAGCAAGCAGTGCTGCCGTCGAGGCATGCAGTACATGGGCAGACTTTGCCTGTTTTCCTGTACGACCAGCTACCGCCCACCCACGAAGAGGGGCAGTGGAGAAGAAGTACCGGCAAAGTATCTCGGAGTTCGAAACAGCGTACTTCCAGTACGACTAGGCAAGAGAATGCTGACATGGCAGGAGACAGGGGCTATAACGACATGTCGTTTATCTTGCTGCATTCCACTGTACTCCCACTCGCCAGCTATCGCACAGCCGCAGGCCCCGCACAAGAGTCAACTACCATCAACCAGATACCACACTATTTGATGTCCCTGGTCGCTTGTCCGGATATTATGCACATAAGACAACTTTCCTTAAACGTTCACGCTGCGTTTCGAGTTCGTCTTCTTGCGGAAGTAAGTAACAATATAACTATACACGGACATGCACTTATTGACTGCGAAGCATTTCCGTTCAGGGTGCAGCCGTCCCTGCGAAACTTCCAAGACGGCAAGAGAAAAAACCCGAAGCCCTACCAAACCTGTAGGTAAACATACCCAACCATATGCCATAAACTCAAGCGCCAGCGCCTGAACTCCAACCCTGGACCCTCCTAACCCTACAAGCCCTAAAAGTGGACCCACGGCTGCCATCTTCCTAAGATTTCGTGCCGGCTGTCTGGACCGGTCCTCCTGAGCAGTCCGTGTGAGAAAGCTGACTGTTAAAACAAATTATGGTTTGGGGTTTGCGTCTGGGGTTTAGGGGTTCAGGGGTTTGGCGTTTCGGATTTTGCGGCTACGGCTTACATCCCGAGCGGGGCAGCGAAAAAGCGATCCCGAACCCTGATCAGCGTTAGCCGCATGCCCGAATCCCCGAACCCACCTGCAACTCCCATGAACTCAGAAGCCTTCGTGCATCATTCTTCGCACACGAGTCGCATGGCATGGGCATATCAAACTGTATCCCGCCTGGGGCCCTCAACACAAGGTGCGGTGAAGGGTGATGTTTGTCTAGGGCCAGGGACACCTTGCCATCAGCTTCAGCTGTGAAGCCTGATAAGGTAAGCCTCGTTCCTGTCCTTTCACGGCCGAAAATCTAGAGTTTAGGAATGTCTAGCACTGAAGATTTGGGCCCGGTGTATGGGGATTATGCCCGCTCGGATCCTAGGCAACTGCTGCAGCATGTGCCACAACAAGGGCGATGACCGGAAAGCTCAACAGTGATCGGCGAAAAACAGCGGCAGTCTGAAAATTTCGTTTGACAGGCTCCCCTCGTTACCGGAGGAGCTAGCGAATTGAATCAATCATATGACCAGGAGGTTGCCAGTACGCTGGGGAAACTTCCAGCGACTCCCGACTCATGCTACGAACGGAAAGCTATGGTGTATGACAGTGTGTTCCAACATTGCAGAACAGATGTGACTAATCACGACAGAGTCAGACGAGAATAAAAAATGCCTTGGAGGCGTGTCTAGATAGTTCTGTACGCCCTGGCCGAGTCCCTACTTAGCCCGCACATCGACATGCACTAAAGTTAGAACAGACGGGAGACGATGCACAGCACCGACCATGTGGCAACCTGCCTTGAATTCGGAAGATCCGTGTCTTAGACCTCGTGGGTGCTCGCTGACCACCGCGCGCGGACAGGCAGCTGTTAGGCGTTGTGTTCTCTGATCGACTGGCTGCTGTCTGCCATCAACCATGCCTGCTGTGAACAGACAACACGAGCACTGCAGCCGCGCACTTTAAACGCACATGCTGCCCAGCCGTTCAAGAAGTCTACCATCACTGTTTGTCGCCGCCCTTCTCAAACAGCCACAAACAAGCCCATGCATGGCTTTGCCTCGCAAGAACAGCTTGCAGACCAGAGTGCCACACTATCTTCAACCACTGATGGCAGAGTCTTGGGAGTTTAGCCAAGTTCCAAACCTTGCTGAAGCAGCAACAGAAGCTTTCCAGGAGGAAGCAAGACAGCTCTCATCGAAGCTCTCTCTTTCTTCCTCTGCCTCTCTGCGTGGTCTCCTCTCCATCTGTACGCAGGCTCTGCATGTGTGTGGTTTAGCACATTAAGGATTTAAGGTTTACAGCTTTGAGGATTTAGGGTCTGTCTGTCTGTCCGTCTGTCTGTCTGTCGGTCTGGCTGTCCGGCTGTCTGCCTGTCTGTCCGTCGGTCTGTCTGCCTGTCTGTCTGTCCGTCGGTCTGTCTGTCTGTCAGGCTCTCTTTCTCTCTCTCTCTCTCTCTGTGCCTCTCTCCCCCTCCCTTGATCAGTGACTATAAGCAAATACAATAACTATATGTATATACACACATACATACATACATACATACATACATACATACATACATACATACATACATAAGTATACATATACATATACATATACATATACATATACATATACATATACATATACATATACATATACATACATACATACATACATACATACATACATACATAATTACATACTTACGTACGAACATACATACATAGTTATTAGCATATCAAGATATATTTACATACACCTTATATATATATATATATATTCATTACTTTGTATCTAGATTGGTACATATGTTTGCAATACGGGACATATCCCATTGCATGTACATATAGTGATTACAAAAAGAGAACTACCGGTACATATACACAACATACACACACATGCCCACACCTAAACATATAAATATGCATTGATCATACTATGCGTTGTAGAAGGACGGAAGCATACGACTATGAGACGCATACGACTGTTATGAAGTTAGCAGGTAGAGGGGCAGGCATGGAAAGAGGCTTGTAGTTATAGGCTATAGGTCGAGAAGTGGTACCTGGTGCTTCGCGCACGAGTAATAATGCTGCAGGCTGGACTTATGCAGCAGAGCTGACTTGCAGATCGCCGACCGTGTTGTTTCATAAGGTTCTACTTCACTTGTGGCATCCTCTTATCTTCAGTACTTTGGGCTTAGCATCCGTCTCCCAGCTGGGGTGACCTCCCTCTTTCCCCAGCAGCCTTCTGAACTCAAAGACCAAGCTGTTCGATGCCATCCTCGGAGGGGAATTTGAGCTGTTGTCGAACTTCAGAAGAGTATAATTGCCGACCCCAAAAGCAGCAATCTAGAAGTAAAAGCTGTGTCACAACGAAGCGTGCTTCAGAGGATTGAAGACTGAAATGACATCGAGAAAAGCCTGAAGCTCTGAACACGAAGCCGACACCTCAATCATCCAAGACCCTACGGCTCAGGTAACGTGTAATAAAGCAGCAAAGTGAGCCTGACAAGTCCGCGAAATCTGCCCGTAGTGCAGATCAGCAACCACGTAAAGAAAGTGACCCCGAAGATTCAGCACAGTTTGCGGGCACCCTGGCTTGATTTCGTATGCCATCATTTCGGAAGCCGATGAGCTCTGGAACCCCACTCACGCAAACCTCTACATGCCACACCTTACTAGAGACCTTGAATACGCCAGAAACCCAAAACCCCATGAGCGCTCCTTTCCGGTCAGAGTCTGGGCCATGATGATGCCTGTCGTGGCGAACCTCAGCACTGTGTGTGTGTGTGTGTCGGTCGCACGTGGGTGGGCGCGTGTAGGGAAAATTAGATAGCGAGATAGATCGGTAGATACACTGATAGATAGATAGATTGATTGATTGATAGACAAATAGATAGATCGATTGATAGATAGATCGAGAGATAGATAGATCGAGAGATAGATCGATAGATAGATCGATAGATAGGTAGATAGATAGATATATAGATAGATCGAGCGATCGGTAGATCGATAGAACGATAGATCGATCGATAGATAGATAGATCGATCCATGCGTCCATGAATGGATATATGCATACATACGTACATTACCGCACGATGCGCTGCATTACTTTACATGACATTACAGAACATTACGTCACATTCCACTCCAGTACAGTGCATTGCATGGTTTGGCATCGCATTGCATTACATTACACAGCATTACACTGCATACACAAAGACACACTTTAACACGTCGCGTCGTCTCTGTAGCGACATGCAAGCATCATAAGGCTTTAGTGGCATCCTGCCAAACCAAGAGCATGGTGATCTTAGACTTATGTGTACTGTAAGTTTCTGGATGCTTCCTGCCCCGAGTTCCAAATTCATGGCCTCATCATGGACAGCTGTGGTTTCAGCATCTAGATCCTGAGCTCCCAAACCACATGGGTTCGGTAGGGTGCGGGTCTGTCCGCGGCCAAGGGGCATCGCAAAGCGGCCGTTGTTGATCTCCCCTCGCAAAGTCGCAGCGTCAAGGTATGAAACAAAGGCGAAGATTATACTTACTAGAGAGCTGCTAAAGGACTGACTACTGATAATCGCGGTCTACTCTGTATTCCCGGTGAACCGTTGCTGATCGGTGGTAGAGTAAGGGTGCCGGGTTAGCACATCCCGAAGTAATCTTTGCAACATCCAGCCCCCAAATTGTCCCCAATTCCAGCCCCCAAAATGCCCCCCCGTGAAAGCTTAGGTCTCAACATAAGGGAAATGATCCCCACACAGACACCCCATTATCAGAACCTCCTACTTAGTCGTATCGTTGGGCTTTGACAAGACTCTTGATAGAAACGGACCTGCAAGAACCTACAGAAAACCTCCGTTCCATCTGACTGAATAGAACAGACAGAGTAGAATAGAATTGAGTGCAACTTAACAATAAATTTAGACCAGACTAGCATAGAATGTAACCTAAACCCTAAACCCTAAACCCTGATCCCTAAACCCTAAAAACCCTAATCCCTAAAACCCTAATTCCTAATGCCGGCTGGAGTCGGTTGCGCATCTCGGTGCTGTACATACCCAGGCCGAGCCTCGCGTGCCCGCAGGCGTCTCAGGGGTTTGTTAGGGTTTAGGGTTTAGGGTTTTGGTTTAGGGTTTAGGGCTTAGGGTTTTGGTTGAGGGTTTAGGGTTTAGGGTTTAGGGCCCCATTTCCGTCAGCCTGAAGAGGAGTCGGCAATAATGTTGGTTGAGGGTTGAGGGTTTAGGGTTTGTGTTTGATTAACGGCCTTGCTTTATCCTGCTGCGTCTGTGCGGAGTCTTCATGCCCTAGAACTCAAATTGAGCTGATGTAGCGAGCATCAGAGCACACCGGTAGTTGCTATGCTAAGCTGCGAATCGGACTGCTCGGCTCAGCATGACGCGATCGAGCACAGCCACAAGTCTCATCTAAACACAAGCATATGTCACAGTGACCCTAGACCCTAAACCTTAAAATCAAAGCCCTACACAGTACCTTATTTCTCCAGGTGGCGGATCTCCGAAGTTTCCTGGCTCCAGGTCATCCTCCTGCCCATGTGCTTTCAGTCGCATGTCACCATCTAAGAATACAGCACGATGATGATAAAGCACTATTCTGACGACAATGACGACATAACTGCTAGGATGCAGCCGAAACCTCATGTAGCTCGCAAGGCATCAAGGCATGGGGATGAAGGATGTCAAGTGTTCAGGTGCAGGTCCTGAGCCCAAAAGCTCAGCTCCAGCCAGATGATGACAAAAATGAATGCGCCTGGACTTGATGCAGGCTCGCTCCCTTTATCCTTTCTATTCTAAACACCGCATCAAGAGTGACAACGGCAAGAACAACGAATGCAACGAGTATCGCACGGCTACCGGACCCTAGTTCTTGTGGCAGGCCCACCGGCCCGGATTCCTTTCAGCGACCCAACGGAAACCTAATACCGCTACATTGAGGGGAGACACTCACCCCTGCCTTGGGGTAGGGGCATCGATTAGTGGCCTTGTTATCCTGCTTGAGCCTGTGGCTTACTTTTGCGACACCAGGTTGCTGAAGAAGTAGAGAGCAGGCAGGGTGACGATGGTGTTGAACTGGCTGGACCAAGAAGTCCTGATTCTGATGGGGAAGGTGTGTATGTCTTCAATGTACACTCGATGCAAAGATACGTGTACCGGTGTGCATGCCTGTGTCTAGATAGATGTGCCTACATGTTGCCACCCATGTCAATGTAGTAGTGTGAGTGTATATATATATATATATATCACCGCCTACATGTTGGCACCAATGTCAATGTAGTAGTGTGCCTGTGTATGTATATATCACACGCTCATACACAAGTGGGTATCCGGAGATGCTACCACAGCCGTTCACACATCTTCTCCAAACAGCAACACTCCGCGTGGTTTCTCCGAAGCACCCATGTGTGAAGGCGATAATGTAGGGGCCTAAATAATAACCAAGACTATTTTGAGGGTTCTTCATCATGATTATACTATAATGGGCACCAAAACCCTATGCTAATTCTTAAGGCCCCTACATTACGGGTTCGATGTTTCGGACAAAGGGCTTGAGGATGTGATTTGTAGACTCCCTGCCCGGGCTGCAAGATCTGCTGCACACACCCCCCCCCTCGCCAAAAAAAAACAACATACATATATATATATATATAGATACATATACATATATATATATATACGTATATATATATATATGTATTTGTATATGTATATGTTATGTTTTGTTATGTTATGTTATATATATATATATGTTCAGTTTTGCTCCAGGGAGCCAGGGTTACTTAGCGGCTTAGCGCCCGGAGGTGTCGTTGGAGGGTGTGATTCATCCCAGGTCAACATGATCAACAGCAGCCTCGGGAGCCTCTTGAAATGCAGAAACCCCCCTTCCGGGCGAGTCTACGCCCGGTGTCCCGGCGAGCTCATAGCCCGGCAGTCGTACCCAGTGGGTGATCACCAAGCCCACTGAGGCCTCAGGGTGCCAATCTTCTCACAAACTTCACGCACGTCCTCGAAGGACTGCAGGATTTCTCGGAGTCGTGCAGTTTCGGCCACTGTTGCATGTTCTGGTTTTTGGCCTGCGACTGCTGTCCAACTGTCTCACTGGTTTTGTTACCATCGCCCAAGCACATCAGCACGAACACTGACATAAGGGTTTGATGCTCGCGTTCTAGCAGTGCAGTTGCGGCACCATCATGGCGACACGCCCGTGCTTGATCTCTGCTGCTCGCCTGAAGCGGAACCTGAGTCAGAGTGTCTCTTGGTGTTCGACCGGGTTGATCCCCCAGAGAGCCCAATACCCCTTAAATAAGGAATATAGCTGAAATTATAGGGGCCTTAATACTATGATTTAAGGTATATTCCTCAATTAAGGGGTATTGGGCTCTCTGGGCCTTGCACGAGCAATATGTCCATCCAATCGCTCAGGCTGGAGGTACAAATCAAAAAAACATTTGAGGTATGTTCATAATGGGTACTTTCGTGCCATGTTCTAACATACAACAACAATAAATATCACCAACATACCAGAAAACCCTGCCAACATACCAGAACATATTACCGGCGTACCAGAAAATACAACCAACATACCTGAAAGTACTACCAACATACCAGAAAGTTTTACCAACATACCAATATGTACAAAAAAATACAAGCAACATACAAAAATACTGCAAAATACGAAAAAGTACAGAACAATACAAAAACAACTGAATATATACATATATATATATATACACACACCTAAAAATACAGAAAGACGAAACACACAAATCTGGATTGTCGGGCTGTGCTGTTTTCCTTTCCTTGGACTAGGCCGGATAGTAACCATTCTAATCTCGCCACATCAACTTCCAACAGCAGAACCCCCGGCAAGACATGGTACGGTATCCCACGTTCATGGTATGACGAGCGTATGTTGTCGAAGACGTATAGTGTATTTTCGTATGCCTATGGTTTGGTTTTGTATGGCTTGGAATGTTTTTTTTGTATGTGTTGGTGTGTGTGTGTGTGTTAGTATTTTTGTGCTTTTGTCATGTTTCGTATTTTTCGTATGTTGGTATATGTGGCCCCAAGCACAAGAAAGTACCTTGGATGAAAATACCAAGGGCACTCAAGATATGAAAATGCATATGAATAAGTATATGTGTATGTCTCCTCGTCTGCACACATGCTTTGCTAGCTCCGGCACCGGGAAGAGGTTGTGGTTTGGGGGCTCTGCCAAAACAATTTCTCTCACCTCAAATCCCTGAGCCGAGGAAAAACCCGCGAAACACACACTCTCAGTGCTTCTGAACAAGGAGAAGGACACCACAAAGCATGTCAATACATCCAACTAAAAACTCTGGCACCAACTGTTGGGCTTCAAACAGGTAAACTTTCAACCAGGTCCCTTCAATCACATCCACCCAAACCCTCAAAATGGGACAACTTCGTGTTGCCAACCGATAACTGTTAAAACCCAAAAAATCAAGAAGTTATTGATACCGCAAGCCTCCTCCCCCTGATTGCCCGTATGATCTCGGGATCTTGGGCGCGAGCCCCTCCTTGTCGCCGACCTTCGAGAAGCTGAGCGGGTCGAAGAAGCCAAGGGGTGGTGTGATACCCACCTCCTCTTCGGACGGGTCGAACCTGAGGCGGCGAGGGTTGCAGCAGCAGTGCTACTGCGACGTACATGCATACATATATAAGTATGCATGATCATACATACATACATACATACATACATACATACGTACATACATGCAGCTGAATGCATGCATGCACACATGCATACATGCACGGATGATGATGATGACGATGATGATGATGATACTACTAACAGTAATAAGATCAACAACAACAACAAACGCATTAAAACCGAGAATGACAACAACATTAACAACAACGACAACAACAACAACAACAACAACAGCAGCAGCAGCAGCGGCAGCAGCAACAGCAACAGCAACAGCACCTGCACCTGCAACTGCAAATGCAACCTCAACTGCAACTGCAACTGCAACAGCAGCAGCAACAACATCAACAACCATAACCACAAGCACAACCACAACGCGACAACAACAACAATAGAAATAGCAACAATGAACGGAATAGTAACTTATCTTAGTATCATCAACATTATTATATTTAGAATACGATATATGTAACTGATGTTAGTAGGTGTGTAGAAAAGTAAAAACGGTAATAATACTGATGATAGTACTTGTGACCAGCATAGTAGTAGTAGTAGTAGTAGTAGTAGTAGTAGTAGCAGTAGCAGCAGGAGTTGTAGTAGCAGCAATAGCAGGCAGTGCAGTAGCAGTAGCAGTAGCAGTAGCAGTAGCAGTAGCAGTAGCAGTAGCAGTAGT